GCTGTTGGCGCGGGGGGCCCCCCCTGCCGCCAGAGGGCCCCCCGTGGCGGGGTGGGCCCCCCGGCGCGCGGAGGGCGCGACCTGCGGGGGGGATATTCCTTCTGTTCCTGCCCTGCCCCCCCTGCCCGCGGGGGCGCGCCGAACTGGCGCGCGATTAATGGTGGGGCGGGGGGCCTGCCCCGCTGCCTACGGAGCGTCCCGTGGAAAGGACTCGACGGCGCGCGGAGGCCGCGCGGCAGTCTGCAAGGGGTCCTCGGCGCGCGGAGGCAGGCGGCGACCTGGGGGCCCTGCCATCTCTTCTCTCATGTCGCGCGCGCCCGCTGTTCGCATGGGCCCCCCCCCGCCGCCGCAAGGCCCCCCACGGGAAGGGCCCGTCCCTGGCGCGCGGAGGGTGTGCTTGGACCTGTGGGGGGGGCCTTTCCTCGGCCCCCGCCCCGCCATCTCGGCTCGCGGTTTGCGCCGAACCGGGGACTGTTCAATGGCGGGGTCGGGGGCCCTCTCCGCGGCCAAAGGAGTTTCGCGTGAAAGGAGCTCCATGGCGCACGGAGGGCGCGCAGCGGTCGGCAGGGGGTTAGCCAGATGGGGGAGTTCTCCATCCTGCCTCCTCATCCCAACGGCGTCTATGGGGTCGCGGCGAACTGATGCATGGCCACGCGTGAAGATTGCACCCTCCTTCTCGTCCTCCAGGTGCCCGGGTGGTGTCGGCCCCGACGGTGTCCACATGGTGTCAAAATGGCGCTCGGGTGGCGTCGCGATGGCGTCGTCGCGTGGCCCCCGCAGAGCCTCCAGGTTCTCCTTCCGATGGTGCTCTGGGAGGCCTCAATGACGTCGCGATGGCATCCCGCTGGGGCCGCGGGATTGCGGCGCTGGGTTCCGCCATGTGGCCGTGGTGACGAGGGGCAGGGGTGGGCGTCGGGGCCATGGTGGGCGTCTCTCTTTCCTTCGCCACTTCCCGCCCCCCCCTCTTGGCGTCTTCCCTGTCGGTGGGGTCGCGCCGTTAACGAGTGCATGTTGAATTGTGATCGTGCCCCCGCCCTCGACCTCATCGCTGCGTTCCATCCTGGCGCCCTTCCTGCCTGCGGGGTCGCACCGAACTGGCGCGCGTTCATTGTGCGAGGGTGAGTCTTCCGCGCGGACAGCGGAGCCCCCCAGGGGGTGGGGGGGGGCTCCGCGTCGCGCGGAGGGCGTCCGCGGAGGAGCGGCCCAGTGTAGCAAGCACGAGCGAATCAAGTCAAACCGTCCTGGAACGACGTCCCGATGCTAGCCGCCACGGCCAAACCATCGTTGGCAATGCCCGCCGCCGACTCTTCCTGCTTCTCGTCGGCGTCGCTGGACGTTGGCGCCCTGACGCCGACGTCGCCCGCGGCGGCAGCGGCGTCGGCGGATTGGGCCTGGGGCAGCTCGCAGAACGCGCCGCGCGTCGCGATCTGCGCCCAGCCCGCCGCGGAAACCTGGGAGATCGCCTCGGGCACGTTTGGGGTGTCCGCGACCGTCAGGCAGGCGCGAGGCTAGAGGTGCGCGGGCAGCGTGTCGGTGATTTTGGGTGTGATATTCCCCGTCGTCGCCAGCCTGCTCACGCGGCCGCGTTTGCGCTCCGTCTGGCTCTTCCTGGCGACGTCGTCCGCGCTGCCCCCCGCCGCGAACTCGGTCGGGTCCCGGAGCCTGGCGCTTGCAGATGCAATATGGCGCGCAGCCAGCAGGCAAACTCCTGGGCGCCACCTCGCAAGACGCAACCCCGGGGGCGATCCCGCGCCGCGCGATTCCAGGGAGTGCAGTGCTAACATGCGATGCGCTCTGCACTCTCCGGCGCAACTCGTTGAACATGATGCGCCAACTCCGTGCTGAACAGAAGGGTCGCGAACCTGAAGAGCCGTGGACTAGGGGCCAGGCGCGCGGCCTCTGCGCCCGTCAGTGACAACAGCTGAATCAGGATGACGGATTGACCGCCCTGGTCTTGGCTCGCGCATGGGGGCAGCAGACACAGCGCAAAAACCTCAGGAACAGTCAAAGTCGAATGCATTGCCAGAGAAAGCCGCGCCCAAAAACAAAAACATAATGCTTGCAATTGTTGGGGATCAAAGACACATCCGATAGCCGCGCAGAGAAATTCGACCATCACGCCATCAAGGAGACATCGCGCGGCTACGATCACGGAGCAGGCCAATTGGGCATGCTGTACTCATCAATGCCAATATAGAGCACCCCGCAACAGAAATCGCAAAGTCGTCGTGCCACAGAATTTGCTGGGACAACACTGTAAGCCCAGGCTTAATTCCGAATTCGCGGACTGACGAGAAAGCGTGCCAACCGACGATCACTATGACCAACAACTGTAGGAGGCCACTGGGGCGTAATATCGCCCGCCAGAAAAGACATGGTAGAATGCGTGAACAAATCCACACTATGCCGTCTGGCCCTCAGGCCAGCATGTCATGCGGTACATGCTCGATCAATCGTTTCATCCAACATCGAGACACTCTGTGCCAACTCCTGTGGCCAGGGAGCACCGTCTCGCCTCCGCAACTACGCTCACCCCTGGCATGCCTCTCCATAGCTGCATCACCGGCGCCGGGGACCCTGCGGGGCCCCAGGAGCCCGCGGGGTCCTGCATGCCCAGCTCGCTGTCCGACGTGCGCAGCTGGGATCCAATTTAGAAGGTCCGGTCGCTCCGCGCGGAGCCGGTCAAGTCGCCCTGACAAAGCGTCCCGATGATCGCCGTCGTGGCCAGGCGTCCGTTGGCAATTTCCGTCGCCGACTCTTTCTGCTTTCCTCGGTGTCACTGGGCGTCGGCGCTATGAAGCCAACTTCGCCTGCAGCGGTAGCGTTGTCAGTGGATTGAGCCTGGCACGGCTCGCTGAACGCGCAGCGCGTCCCGAACTGCACCCAGCCAGCCGCGGGAACCTGGGAGATCGCCCCGAAACCCTTCAAGGTGTCCAAGAACGTTGGGACCGCAGATGGCGACGAGTAGCAGGGCGGCATGCCAGTGGTTTCGGACGTGCTGGAACCGATCGTCGCCAACGTGCTCACGCAACCGTGCTTGATCTCTGTCTGGCGTCTCCTGGCGAGGTTTTCCGTGCACCATCCGCCGTGAACCCGGCACCATCTGGCGAGGCCCACGGAGTCCTGCATGCCCAGCTCGCTCTCGGACGTGCGCGCGCCGCGCAGCGGGGGCCCTGCGCAGGGCGCCCGGTCCGGGCGGAGCGGCCCTGCAGGCTGGCGGACGCCGCAGCGGCGCGAACCGCCGCGGCGGCCGTGGCCGCAGCCGCCACGCCGGCCACGGCGGCACCAGGCGACAGAGCGGCGGCGCGCGCCACGGCGGCGGCGGCCGCCGTGGCGCAGCCGCGGCCGGCCGCGGCGACGGCCTCGGCGGCAGCAGAGGCCGCGGCCACCGCCGCGGCGGCGGCGGCGGCGGCGACCGCAGCGGCGGCGGTCCGCCAGCAGCGCCGGCGGCCGATGGCACCGCCAGCCTGGGCGGCCGCGGCGCTGGCGTGGGCGGCGGCGGCCGCGGCGCGGCGGCCGCTGCGGGGGCCGCGCGCGGCGCCCCTGGCGACGGGAGCGGGGGCTTCCGCAGCGCCAAAAGCGCCAGCGACAGCCGTCCCCGCGGCGCGGGCTGCCGCGCAGCGGCGCTGTCGCCGCCGCCGCGCCACGGCGGTCTCCATCGGCCGCGGCGCGGGGAGCTGGGAGGGGAGGCCCGCGAGGGTGGCCCCTCCCGGCTCCACGCAGGCCCCCGGCGAGCAAGGGGCCCGCACGCCCCAGGCGCGGCAAGCTGGCTTGGCTCCCTCGAGCCAGAGCGGCTTTAGCCACGCTGCGGACACACGCGCACAAGCACAGGCACAAGTGCAAGCACAAACACAAGTACCAGCACCATCGCCAGCTCAAGCACAAGCACGAGCACAAGCACAAGCACAAGCACAAACACACAAACACACAAGCACAACACAAGCACAAGCACAAACACAAGCACAAGCACAAGCACAAACACAACACTCAACACACAAACACAAACACAAGCACAAGCACAAACAAACATACAAACACAAACCCACACACTAATCCACAACACACAACACGCAACCACAACCACAACCACCACCACCACAACCACAACCTCAACCACAACCACAAACACAATCACAAACATTAACACAAACACCAGCACAAACACAAACACAAACAAACACACAACTATAACCACAACCACAACCACAATCACAAGCATAAACACAAACACACTTACAAACACAACCGTAAAGCACCAGCATACATACAAACATAACCACAACCACAGCCACAAACACAGACAACAACACAACACAAACACAAACACAACCACAACCATAACCACAATCACAACCACAACCACAAACACACATACAAACACAACCGTAAAACACAACCACAAACACAAACACAAACACAACCACAACCATAACCACAACCACAACCACAACCACAAACACAAACACAAGTACAAACACAAACACAAACACAAACACCCACACACACACACACGCGCACGCACGCTCGCACGCACGCACCCACACACACACACACATGTAGATTTCCAAGAGGACGGATAAGGCCAAAAGTAGCCCACAGGAAGCGTCCAAGATGCCTTCAAGAGGGAACAAGAAGACGGGCGAAGGAGGAACGAAAAGGAGAAAAAGGCTGAAGACCCGCGCCAGCTCGGACAAGCACTGATCTGAAGGGGGTCATGAACTCGGCCTCCTTACTGCTGAGCTGCTGCGCTGACGCGGTAGCGGGATCTGCCGCAGGCAGCTGGATAAGGAATGAATGATGTGTGTTGGAGCTGGGACTGAACTGTGCGAGGGGTTGGTCCAAGGAACAGAAGGGGACAACTCAACACGTGCAGCGGCCCCCTGTTTGCCGTGAACCACTTGGCAATACTTCTCCAAGTGGGACGCACATTACTTACCACCTGGGGTTGGCCAAGAAGAGGAGGAGGACATAAAGTGGAACACCTAGGCCGACCGAGCAGGCTAGCGCTCTGAAGCGTGGAACCCCCCAATGCTGTCACAGGCCTTGTAGTCGACTGTCGCGATCTCCCTTTGCTGAGACCACTTGTCAATACATTCCTGGCTGCCGCACCTCACGCAGTGATACCCGTTGTCCCCGAACAGTGTGCGGTTCTGCACCTGCCTGGCCCAGCACCATGGTGTGGGGTCGAGGATCGTCCGGGGCGGCCACAGCGCGGTCCAGTACGCTGCCGCGATTGCCAGCAGCGCGCCCAGCAGAATCACGGCGCCGCGCAGCAGCAGGGCCCTCGCACTGCGAGTACAGCTGCAGATGGCTGCGCCCACACACAGCCCAGCAGCGAGGCCCGCGAGGGGAGCAGCAGCGCTCACGGCCAGACCGGACGACTGCTCCCAGTCAAGGCTCAGCATCAAGATCGCCAGCATGATGACGATGCTGACGAGGTCGAACTTTCGAAACTCGCACTCCGTCCAGTTCATGGCCAAGTTCGCCATGTGCACGCCAACGAAGCACGCGCAGCCTCCGACCATGTCCGAAAACCCCTCGGTGTGAGCATCCACCACCAGGTGGCCCAGCCCGCCAGCCACGAGGCCGATGTAGAAAGTGACGAGCACGGCCACGTGGCCGAAGGATGTTTCTATGGGCACCCCGCTCAGCACCAGCAGCGACACCTGGACGCCCAACCGACCCATGCCCGTGACTGTGAACTGGTACGACAGCCAGCGCCACGCCTCCATTCGACGGTCCAGGCAGCCTGTGTGGGTGAGGAGCAGAGTCTGCCCCTGCGCCATGGTCTCCAGGCCCACCTGTTCCGTCAGGAACTCAAGACCGTCCTTGTGCAGCCAGGCAGCTGCCCCACCGCACCACAGCGTGAGCAGGAGAAGTGCTTGCATCACCACGAGCGCTGGCCGCCTCTCGCGTGGTCGCCATGGCCGCCCTCCATGCGACGCCTGCGGTTGAGTGCGGGGCTCCTCCTGCGCCACTCTGCTACGAATGAGGTCAAGGTTGAAGGATCGCCGAATATCGTCCACAGTGAATCCAGCGGGGCGGTCGCGCAACGACGGCGCTGTGCATCCACCTTCGCTAAGCCCGCAGCCAGCGCCGTCGCCGGTCGCTTTCGCAGGGGCGTCGCTTTCCTGCGGACTATGCGAGCCGCTTCTGCCTCGGCCACGGCAACAACACGTTGGCAACGCATCTGCACATTGTCGCCGCCAACGCCTCCAAGCAGACCTGGAGCACAGCAACCGCAACTCCCAGGGGTAGATATCCCTGTGGTGGTGGAACTTTTGGGCACTGAAGAAGTATATCCAAAAACACCACAGGGTGACCAAAGAGTCCGCGACCAAATCGTAAAGCATCTCCTTGAATGGCTTGGACTCTGGCCAGCACCGCCGGGTGCGGCTACTGCTGGACGACGCGGTCTTCTTCCCATCCTCGCAGGGACCATTGCCACTCTCAGAGAAGTCGCCGCGCACCACGAAGACGGAATACCCCTCGCGCGCCGCAGAGCAAACCTTCATTCTGATCTCTGCCTCTGTGTGGGCGCGCGGCGTCTCGTAGACACTGTTCAGCTCGAACCACTCCTGGCTGATACGCCTCAGCGCGAACCAGTGCTCCTTCCTGTTCAGGATATACGCGCCGTCTTTCTTGTCGAAGGCGACGGTCCACGCGTGGAACGGCACCATGTCGTACCCGATCCAGAGGAGCACCGCTTGCATCACCTGCACATTGAACCAGCCGTCCCTGAGGGCGTTGCCGTTGTCCAGGCCGCTGCCGCCGGTGATCTCCCGCTCCTTCTCGTCCAGTTTCCTGGCCACCATCCTGAAGCAGTCCTCGTCGAAGAAAGGCCCCTGCTAGAGCAAAACAGAACTGCGTAAACGCAAACTTTTAGAGGTCCGAGCGGATTTCTCAGATCTGCACCAGACCCCCTTCCCTGGCGCGCGGAGCGCGCGCCAAGGGCGGCGCCGGAAGCGCCGCCAGGGGTCCTGGCGCAGATCCACGGAATCTGCGCGCAGCTCCGACAACTCCTGTACACCTCGTTTTTTCTGCCTCGACCTGCAGCAGGTTGTTCACGCAGTGCAGCCCGCAATTGGCCTTCTCCTGCCTCTCGAGGTACACGCCGGTCTGGGGGTCCACCCCGCCGCGGATGGCCCTCTCGCGGCCTGCCTCGCCCGCCCCAGGCCCCGGGGGCGCCGCGGGCGGCGCCGGCTCCGTGGACGCCCGCGTGGAGCAGCTGCTGCCGGCGGCCGAGCGCGCGGTGCTGCCGCCGGCAGAGCGCGCGGCGCTCCGCGACGAGGAGGCGGACGGGCTGTCCAGGCCGCCGCCGGCAGCGCGCGCGCCCCTCAGACCGCCGAGGCCGCCGGCGAGGCTGCCGCCGAGGCCGCCGGCGGGGGGGGCCTCTGCGGGCTCGTCCTGTGCGGCCGGGAGCTGCCAGAGCGTCGGGGCGCCCTCCCGTCTCCTCCTCGCTGCTGCCCATCCTCGGCAGCTCCTCCTTCCTCCTCCTCCTCCTCCTCCTCCTCCTCCTCCTCCTCCTCCTCCTCCTCCTCTTGCTGCTTCTGCTGCTGCTGCTGCTGCTTCTTCTGCTGCTGCTGCTGCTGCTGCTGCTGCTGCTGCTCCCCCTCGCCCTCCTTGTCCTCGTCCTTTCTCTCCCCTCCTCCTCCCTGCCTCCTGCTTCTTGTTCCCCTCCCCAAAGGGGGTCGCGCGCGCAGGCGCACTCGCGCCGAAGCCAAGGCAGGGCACGGCTCCCGCGCTGGCGCAGGGGCCGCACGGCGCGCGGTGGAGGGAGCGAGCGAGAGCAGGAGGGGCGCACGCGGAGCCGGAGAGCAAAGTGCAGTCGGGAGGCCTTCGCTCGTGCGAGAGGCCAGGTGTCGAGGACGCTGCCTCGGGGGCTCCTGGCTAGCGTTGTGGATGCCACGACAATGGACACCCCTAACAGTCCTATCACTGAACTAGAGATACGTTTAAATGTGTAAGACATAGTACAAAAACGTTTCAGACATGTTCCTACACATTTTACATGTTTGAAACATTGATTAGACATCTGGAAGTGATTTGGCAGCATGCTTCCTCTCCATTGAATCGACTTCCACAAGGCTAGCGCGGTGGGCGAACAGGTGGAGCAGGGAACAGCTGCAACATAAACCATCGGCCCAGCACAAGGACCGCTGGACCAGGAACCGTCCTCCCTGCCTCCTGCTTCTCCCACTCCCGAGGCCGAGCCAGGCATGCATGGTATGGTCAGCTTCCCAGATCCGTTGTCCGTTGACTGCGCGTGGCCAAGGATGCCAAGACCCTCGAGCAAGCACGCTGCCAGAGCGTGAAGGGGCACCGCCTGTGGCTGGTGTGCCCACTCGTTTTTTGCGGGGTGTGCGGATATCACTCTAAGAACAACACTCAAGGCCTCGCCCAGCATTAAGGCGGCCAGTGCGTTCGCGCTTCGACGTCTCAGGACCGTCTTTTCAAGCTCTGGCAGGGCTTGTACCCTCGGACGGGCCCAAGGCTGGCCCCGCGGTCGGGTCCCTGGCGCCCTGTCCCGTTCGTTGCTTCCGCCTTGGATGCCAAACTCGGGGATCTCGAGGTCCTCCCAGACTGGTCATCTCTGCAGGCAGAGTCGCACGTCTTGCGCGGAGAAGCGCCGCATGCCGCGTCGCGCTGTGCGCGTAGAGGCTCACGATTTTTTGCGTCGTGAAGGCACACCCTGCGATGCCCACGGCGAGACTTCGCCCCCTGTGGCGAGGATATGGGCTGTTTGACTGCATCGCGGAAACCACCCCTCACCTGCTCCTTGATAACATTTTCCTCCTCCTCCTCTTCCTCTCCTTCCTCCCCTTCCTCTTTCTACTAGAACCACTGGAAGTCCTGCGAAGAGATCATCGGTTGTTCCGTGGCCTGTGTTATCGTGAACGCAATCATCTAGATCTCATGCGATAGTGACGATGACGCACATTGCTTTGCAGCACCACCATCATCATCATCAGCATCCTCCTCCTCCTCTTCATCATCATCATCATCATCATCATCATCATCATCACCATCATCATCATCATCATCATCATCATCATCATCATCATCATCATCATCATCATCATCATCATCATCATCATCATCATCATCATCATCATCATCATCATCATCATCATCATCATCATCATCATCATCATCATCATCATCATCATCATCATCATCATCATCATCATCATCATCATCATCATCATCATCATCAGCATCAACATCAGCATCATCAGCATCAACATCAGCATCAACATCAGCACCATCAGCACAATGCGCCACCGTGCCCCTGAGACGTTGAGGCGTCGAAGAATGCCAAGGTCTGTCTAGTAGGGTCTTTGAATTCTAGTAAGGGGCCGCCCCTTCCTCTACCAGCAAACTCCTGCGTGCACCGCCCCTCCTTGCCGAGGCCACTTCCCTCGTGCCCGCTCGAGAATGGTGCACTTCCGGCATAGCAGCTAATGCTAAATCCCCCCTTCCACGCGTGCCCGCTCGAGAATGGTGCACTTCCCGCATGGCTGCTAACTCCTAGACCCTCATCCCACGCGCGCCAGCTCGAGGATTGGGCATTTCCCGCATGCCTGCTAACTCCTAGGCCCCTCATCCAACGCGCACCCGCTCAAGGATCGTGCACTTCCCACATTCCCAGGCGCTGCTCCCCAACGCTCCATGGCCTCCCAAGCCACGATGCCTTGCTAAAAACGTTGGACATGCATCCCGAGCTTCCAGGACGGCCTGTGCAGGAAACAAGGACACAAAGATGAGCCAAGATGCCTCGAAGACGGCCCAAGATGGCCCTAAAGCGGCCGAATATGGATTCAAGACGGTCCAAGATGCTTCTGCGAGGGCCCGAGATGGCCACAAGAGGACCTCCAGCAAGGTCCGCAGAAGCCAACATCATTGATTTCCCTGTTTTTTTTTGGACTGATTTTAATATTCTCCCGTTTTTGGGCTGTCGTCAGCTCAAGACGGCCCGAAAGGACTTTACGATGTCCCAAGAGGCATCCAAGACGGCCCCGAGACGGCTCAGGAGGGCTTCCCGTGGAACCCAATACGGCCTTAGAAGGCCCTTCGACAGCCCAAGACGGCGGCAAGACGGCCCCCAGACATCCACCATACGGCCAAGACGGCCCCAAGACGTCCCAAGAGAGCCCCAAGCCGGCGTAAGAGGGCCCCAAGACGACCCAAGAGGGCCCCAAGGAACCCCCAAGACTGCCTCACAGAAGGCCAAAGACAGCCCCAAGACGGCACAAACGAGTTTCATCATCATCATCATCATCATCATCATCATCATCATCATCATCATCATCATCATCATCATCATCATCATCATCATCACCATCACCATCACCATCACCATCACTATCACCATCACCGTCATCGTCATCATCATCAACAACATCAACATCAACATCAACATCATCATCGTCAGCAGCTGCATCAGCATCATGACCACAACGACCACCACCACCATCATCATCATCATCATCATCGTCATCATCATCGTCATCGTCATCATCATCATCATCATCATCATCATCATCATCACCATTACCATCACCATCGCCATCACCATCAGCATCATCGTCATCATCACCATCATCACCATCACCATCACCATCACCATCACCAACACCATCACCATCATCGTCATCATGATCATTTTCATGCTCATGATGACGATCATCATCGCCACCACCATCATCATAACCATCTTAACCATCATCATCAGTATCATCAGCATCATCAGCATCATCATCATCATCATCATCATCATCATCATCATCATCATCATCATCATCATCATCATCACCGTCATCAACAATCACCAAAAAATCACCAAGCACCATCAATCATCCGCCGACCCCCGAGGCGTGTGCGACTCAATTATTTACCTGTTGACGACATACAATTTCTGGCCTACCATACATCGACAAAATGTTGCACCACGTTTGCTGTGCATTGGCACCTGTACTGCATTGCTCTTTCCCCCCCCTCTCCCCCGATCTTAATATTGGGTGCATGGCGAAGAGCCCCTGTTCCGCCTGGGGGCTCCCGGCAAAATGTTGCACCACCGAGCTGTTTCGACCAGCCCGGGTCCGAACCCAATATTAAGATCGGGGGGGAGGGGGGAACAAACGATTGATATAACAGCGATGCGATTTATTGTCAGCGCCAGGTGGTGCAACATTTTGTCGATGTACCTTACGACCACCCCGCCGGGACCGCCAGGCATGGATTTTTGGGAGACACGTGCTTTGCAAGAATCGTCCCTGGACCCCCCCCCCGCCGCGCCGACATCACGACGACATCCTCCTGGTCCTCGGGACCACCCCGCCCGTACCGCCGGGCATGGGTTCGTGGGAGCCCGCCCCCCGCAAAAATCGTGCCGGGACCTGGTCGCCGGGACCACCCCGCCAGGACCGCCGGGCATGGACTTTTGGGGAGCATCCAACCTCCAAAATCCGTTTTGTATCCCCCCACCACGCGGGAGCTCCGTTCTTGGGACCCCCACCCGACAATTTCTAGCCCAGAACCAACCGACCCTGCCGCACACCTCGTCCGACCCCCGCACCGTCCTTGGAGCTTTGTTCTTCTTGGGGCCCCCACCCGACAATTCTAGCCCCGAGCCGACACTGCCGCCCACCTCGTCCGACACTCGCATCGTCCTGGGAGCTCTGTTCTTGGGACCCCCCACCCGGCAATTTTTAGCCCAGACCGACCCTGCCGCCCACCTCGTCCGACCCCCGCACCACCCTGGAAGCTTTGTTCTTGGGGCCGCCCACTGGCCCCCCCGCCCGACAGTATCTAGCCCGAAACCGACCTTGCCGCCCACCTCACCTCGTCCGACCCCCAGGCACCGTCCTGGGAGCTTTGTTCTTGGGACCCCCCACAGGACAGCTTCTACCCTGCAGTCGAATCTGCCGTCCACCTCCTCCGACCTCCGCACCGTCCTGTGAGCTCTGTTCTTGGGACCCCCCACCTGGCAATGTCTTGCCCAGATCCGACCTTGCCGCCCACCTCGTCCGGCCCCCGCACCGTCCTGGGAACTCTGTTCTTGGGACCCCCCACCCGACAATTTCTAGCCCGCAACCGACCCTGCCGCCCACCTCGTCCGACCCCCGCACCGTGCTGGGACCTCTTTTCTCGAGACCCCCCACCCGACAATTTCTAGCCTGGAACCGACACTGCCGCCCACCACGTCCGACCCCCGCACCGTCCTGGGAGTTCTGTTCAGGAGATCCCCCACCCGCCAATCTCTAGCCGCGAACCGACCCTGCCGCCCAGTTCGACCGACCTCCGTGCCGTCCTGTCGGGTGGGTTCGGACTCCCCACCCGACAATTTCTTGCCCAGAACCGACCCTGCCGCCCACCTCGTCCGACCCCCGCACCGACCTGGGAGC